AACTTTTTCCAATACAAAAACAGGTACTGAGGTTTTTGCACGTGTGCCGAATTTACACCTCGGGGCAGGTTGGAGGAAGAGTTGAGGTCTGCTCTGCCATCTTTCTCAGCATGATACCTGTAGTCTATGGCTGCCCTAGTTTCCTGGCTGTAGTGAGGGTCACTACCTGGGGGGGAAGATCCCTCGGCAAGTCAACCTTTTTCCAAGACAGAAACTGATACTGAGGTTTTGCACATGTGTGCCGAATTTAGACCTCGGGGCAGGTTGGAGGAAGAGTTGAGGTTTGCTCTGCCATCTTTCTCTGCACGGTATCTACGGTCTGTGGCTGCCCTAATTTCCCAGCTGGAATGAGGGCCACTACTTGGGGGGATCTGTTGGTGGAGGAGTTGATCTGGGGTTAGTGACCCTCCTATTATCCGGAAATGGAGTTTGTTCAAGCATTCCTCACAATGGGAGATTACATTTCCAGCTTCCCGAAGGAGAGGTCATGGAGAAATGTGAGCTCATTAAGATTACATGGCCAGAACTGCGATCGGGTTACCCTTCAGGGTAACTGGAGCTGTGAGGCTGAGCCGGGGGCTGCACTGTGTGTTGGGGTGTGACTCCTCTCTGCAACCCTCCACATTCTATAGGAATGTTTCTTGCTGTAAAAATTGTTACTGCACACCCTTCTCTGAATTCTGAATTACTGCCTCCGTGTCTCTAATAGTTACAGGAAATGCTGCAACTCCATTAAAAAAATCCACAATTGCCTAAAAAATTGATACTGCACTCTTGACGGGTATGAAAGACACATTAAATGTAACAACTTTCATTCATTAACATTCATTAATACAACAATAAATATAATTTCTGTAAAGCTGAATTGGACAGTGAAATGAGAAGCAGCAACTCATGAAATCCTATGGCACTCTGCTCTCTCCCCCTATCAGCATTCTTCTGCTTTTAGCTTTTTGTAAGCACAGGAGCACTGCAGCAAGCCTTTTTGGCTTCATGTGCTGCTTCTTTTCCCATTCTGAGCTCTGCAATTGCCCTGTTTCATGGTGAACACAAAGGACCACTCACTGAGAAAGGTATCCATGTAGAGATACCTTGTATTTTTCTCAAATAATGCAAAGTGTTCTGGCTGAACAAGGTGGAGGGACAGGGCTGTGATGTCATGATCTCCACCATTCGACGAATGTCTTGTACTCATTGAGAAAAATGTATGGTGCCCATGCTGAGTGCATGATCCCCAGTGTTCACTCTGCAACAGGGTTGAAAAAAAATATATAATACACTATATTGCCAAAAGTATTGGCCCCGCCCTCCAAATTATTATTATTATACAGTATTTATATAGCACCAAAGGGTTTGCTCAGCGCTGTACAATAGCAAGGGGGACAGAACACGAGACAAGACAGTAACAATACAATACTCGAGGGGTTCGAGGGCCCTGCTCTTTTGAGCTTACAATCTAGGAGGGAGGGGAAGGTGGTACAGGAGGAAATGGCTGTGGGTGATGGAGTTGTGGGAGGAGTGGAGGAGATCAGCTGTTAGGTGACGGTGGGGTAGGCTTCCCTGAAGAGATGGGTTTTCAGGGTGCGCCTGAAGGTGAGGAGGGTAGGTGACAGTCTGATGGATTGGGGTAGGGAGTTCCAGAGGATGAGGGAAGTCCTGAAGTCGGGCGTGGGAGGAGGAGACCAGGGAGCTAGAGAGTAGGAGGTCCTGTGAGGAGCGAAGGGCACGGGTAGGGTAGTATTTGGGTATCAGGTCAGTGAGGTAGTTTGGGGCAATCGGGAGCCAGTGAAGGGATTGGCAGAGGGGGGAGGCGGATGTGGAGCGGTTGGTGAGGTGGATGAGTCACGCCACTGAGTTTAGGATAGACTGGAGTGGGGATAGCGTTCGTTTGGGTAGGCCAGTGAGGAGGGAGTTGCAGTAGTCCAGGCGTGAGATGATGAGGGAGTGGACGAGTTGTTTGGTGGTGTCTGGGGTGAGGAACGTACGTATCTTGGAGATGTTGCGGAGGTGGAGCCTGCATGATTTTGATAGTGATTGGACATGAGGTTAGAAGGAAAGGTTTGAGTCCAGGGTGACACCCAGGAATTTGGCGTGTGGGGTGGGAGTGATGGTGGTTTTGCTAGTCGTGATGGAGAGGATGGGGGGGGGGGGGGGGGGTGGGGGGGTGGGCTGAGGGCAAAACTAGGAGCTCGGTTTTGGACAGGTTTAACTTGAGGAAATGGAGCGACATCCAGTCTGATATGTCGTTTAGGAGGTGGGCGATGCGGGCAGAGAAAGAGGGGGTGAGGTGGGGGGTGGAGAGGTAAATTTGTGTGTCGTCGGCATAGAGGTGACAGTTGAAGCCGTGGGAGTGTATCAGTTTGCCGAGGGAGGAGGTGTAGATGGAGAAGAGGAGGATTGGATTCAGGTGTTCCAGTCCCCTCCCAATCATGTGATTCCGGTGTTCCAATCCCCTCCGTGGACACAGGTGTATACAATCAAGCCCCTAGGCACACAGACTGCTTCTACAAACATTGGTGAAAGAATGGGTCACTCTCAGGAGCTCAGTGACTCCAAGCGTGGTCCCGTGATAGGTTGTCACCTGTGCAATAAGTCCATCCGTGACATTTCCTGGCTACTAAATATTCCACGCTCAACTGTTAGTGGGATTATAACAAAGTGGAAGCCACTGGGAACAACAACTCAGCCACCAAGTGGTAGGCCACGTCACATGACAGAGCGGGGGTCAGCGCATGCTGAAGCGCACAGTGCGCAGAAGTCTCCAACTGCCTGCAGAGTCAATAGCTAAAGACCTCCAAACTTGGTGTGGCCTTCAGATGAGCCCAACAACAGTGCGTAGAGAGCTTCATGGAATGGGTTTCCATGGCCGAGCGGCTGCATTCTTACATCACCAAGTGCAATGCAAAGTGTCGGATGCCGTAGTGTAAAGAACGCCGCCACTGGACTCTAGAGCGGTGAAGGCGTGCTCTCTGGAGTGATCAATCACACTTCTCTGTCTGGCAATCCAATGGACATTTCTGGGTTTGGTGGTTGCCAGGAGAACGGTACTTGATTGACTGCTTCGTGTGCCGACTGTAAAGTTTGGTGGGGGGGATTATGGAGTGGGGTTGTTTTTCAGGGGCTGGGCTTGGCCCCCTAGTTCCAGTAAAAGGAACTCTTAAGGCGTAAGCATACAAAGACATTTTGGACAATTGCATGCTCCCAACTTTGTGGGAAGAGTTTGGGGACGGGCCCCTTCCTGTTCCAACATGACTGCCCACCAGTGCACAAAGCAAGGTCCATAAAGACATGGAGGAGCCAGTTTGGGGTGGAGGAACTTGACTGTCCTGCACAGAGTCCTGACCTCAACCCCATAGAACACCTTTGGGATGAATTAGAGCGGAGACTGTGAGCCAGGCCTCCTCCCCGACATCAGTGCCTGACCTGACAAATGTGCTTCTGGAAGAATGGTCCAACCTTCCCATAGACACCCTCCTAAACCTTGTGGACGGCCTTCCCAGAAGAGTTGAAGCTGTTATAGCTGCAAAGGGCGGGGCCAACCCAATATTGAACCCTACGGACTAAGACTGGGGGTCCATTACAGTCCATGTGCGAGGAAGGCCGGCGGCCCAATACTTTTGGCAATATAGTGTATATAAAATAGCATTCAGACCCCCTTCACTTTTTTAAACATTTTTATTATATTGCAGCCTGATACTACAGTTCTTTAAAATATATTTTTTTTCTCATTAATTTACACTCGGAACCCCATAATGACAAATTGAAAACAGAGTTTTCGAAATATCTGTTAATTTATTAAACAAAAACTGAACTATCACATTGGACAAGGGGTCAGACCCTTTGCAACAACACCTGACAAGTAGCTCAGCTGCCTCCCATTTTCTCTTGATCATTGCTGAGATGTGTCTACCCCTTGATTGGAGTCCACCCGTGGTATATGAAATTGTTTGGACATGATTTGGAACACGCCTCTCTTTAAAAGCAATTACAGCTGACAATACATACTGTTTCAGAGCAAAAACCATGAGGTCAAAGGAACTGCCTGCAGAGCTCAGAGACAGGATTATTGCAAGGTACAGATCTGGGGAAGGCTTCAAAAAATTCTGCTGCACTTAAGGTTTCCAACGGCACAGTGGCCTCTATAATTCTCAAATGGAAGACATTTGGCACGATCGGGACTCTTACAAGAGCTTGTCGCCCAGCCAAACTGAGCAATCGGGGGAGAAGGGCCTTAATAATAGAAGTCACCAAGAAACCCAATGGCCACTCTGACTGGGCTCCAGGGCTCCTGTGTGGAGATGGGACAAATTTCTAGAAGGGCAACCATCACTGCAGCCCTCCACCGATCTGGTCTTTATTGCAGAGTGGCTAGACAGAAGCCACTCCTCAGTGCAAAACACTTGAAAGCCCAATTGGAGTTTGCAAGAAAGCTTCTTTTTTTTTTGTCTGTAAAGCAGAGCTCAGAATGGGAATGGGAAAAGCAGCACTAGGAACCAAAGAGGAATGCTGCATTGGCCATGTACTTACAAGAGGCATACTGAAAGGAGGATACAGCAGAGTGGCAGAGAGAGGAGCTCATCTGTCTTCCGCTTATCCTTTCACTGTTCAATCACAGGCTGGGGAAGGGTCAGTTTTTACTAAATTGCAACAGAGAAAAATCAGGTTTCTCAAATCATTTTGCCAGTAAAACCGCTCCTATATATGTATTTAATCTGTGTATTAAGCTGTTTGCCTGGAGTTCAGCTTCAAGAATTTTACTGCACATAACTGCTGCTGTGAAAACACCCATTTATAAGGTGATCGTATTGTTCCTGCTCTTAGTACTTCATGCCTTTCAGAGATAGTCAATCAATATTTACAACACTGTACTGTGAATAACGTAGTAACAATTCTGCATCTTCCATTAATCTAGGAGCTGAGAGAGGACAATGTGATTCTCATCGAGACGAAAGACCATGCTGGAAGAGCAGTTGGCCTCAGCCCGGGTCCGGACAGATAAACTGCACGAGCTGGAGAAGGAGAACCTTCAGCTGAAATCCAAAATACATGACATGGAACTGGTGAGGGAACCCATGGTGTAACCCATGCTGGTACATTATAATTGAAGAGGGAAGATGAAAATTCATAATGGACTGGGATATATTGAGCACCCAGGCCCGAACTCTGACATTGAAAGCAGTTCCATCATTTTGTACCATGGACATAGTATGATGGTGACTTGCACTTGTTTCCAGTGATGGTAAACTGGACACCAAATCTTGGTGGTTTTATTTCAGTCCTGTAATCCAAAATGTAAAACTGATGATTATGTTCTAATCTCATTTTTTTTGTCTAGTTGTTTTTAGATATTTGTCCAGGAGTTTGAAGACACCTGACCATCACACATCTCTGGCTCCCCAAATTATAGAGTTTTGAGGTATCCAGTGATTGGTGCCGTTACAAAGGGACTTTGGGCAATTCTGCGCTTCTAACCATGCCGTAACATTTTTTCTGTTCCAGCATGACTGTGTACATAGCCAGCTCCATAAAGACATGGTTTGACCAGTCTGGTGTGGAGGCATTCAAGTGTCCTGCACAGAGCCCTGACTTCAACCCTACTGATCACCTTTGAGATGAATTTGAATGTTGTGAGCCAGGTCTTCTCACCCAACATCAGTACTTCACCTCACAAATGGATACAAATTCCCACAGACACACTCCAGAATCTTGTGGAAATCCTTCCCAGAAGAGTGGAGGGTGTTTATAGCTGCAAAAAGGTGAAGGGCTAATTTATAACCATGCCCATAGATTTGGAATAGGGTGCTTAAAAAGCTCATATTGGGTCCCACAAACTTTTAACCAAATGGTATAATTGCTGCCCTTGCACCCCTTTGAGATGAATTGGAACACTATAGTGAGTCAGATCTTTCAGGTTTATTCAAAAATGGGCACAAAATTCCCTCAGAGGGAGGGACACGCTCCAAAATCTTGTGGGGGGAAGTCTTCTAAGTTTTGGAATGGTATGCCCAGCAAGCTCATATAGTAGTGACGGTCAGGTGTCCACAACCTTTCAGCCATATAGTGTAGACCTGGTGAAATTGTCATCTTAGAGATAGTAATGAAATTCTTTATAAAGGGCCTTATTACTTTGTCAGGACCGTTTCTCGGATAAGAGTCGCATTGAGGAACTGCTGGAGGAGAACATGGTGCTGGAAATCGCTCAGAAGCAAAGTATGAACGAGTCCACTCAGCTGGGTTGGGAACTGGAGCAACTTTCCCGCAGTGCCGATCTGTCAGATGGTAAGTGGCCCAAAGGTCAAGAGTTGCTCAGTAGATATGAGGCGCTTTTCTTGTGCATTTAACCCTTTTATAAATCCATTCCTCTCAGAGCTTAGAGGATACAGCAAATAGCGTAGCTCGTGGAAAATGGATGGTCTTCAAGGAGCAGTTTTTGAGCCCAGTCCTTTTTTTAGTTGGCAAGTTTTCAGGTAGAGAGTCTTTCCTGCTTTGAACTGAGGAAAGACTGAGAAGGCAGTTTGGCCTTGTATCAGCCCGTACCCTTGGAATCCCATAGTAAGTCCTGACACTTGTGGCCTTCAGCACAACCTTAGACTGGTTATTTTAGGTTTTTATTAGACATCGGAATACAGACTTTGTTGCATAGTGTTCTTGAGTCAAGGAGTAAGCTTTTTAAATCTTTAAGTCCTGATGGAGGATTTTGTGGCCTCCAGAAATATGTTGTGATGTTGCTAAAGAACTATTAAAGCTTTGTTGGACTCTTTACCGTTTGACTTGGTGCTCCTGATGTATTTTTATTCTTGGCATCCATCAGAGGGGATCCTTAGCTGGAGCTAGCTAGTTTTAATTGTGTTCTCTTCCTTCACACCTAACAAATATGTACCTGAAGTCCTAGAACCACTTGGATAAGTTTTTCTGAAGACCACTAGATTGCTGCAAAACACGACCATCAAACGCAGTAGATAGGAAGCAAATGATAAGGTCTTAGTGTTTGTAAAGGATCGTGTATGGAAGGGTTGGACCCCTTGTCAGGTTTTCATTGCAGAATGGCCATACCCTTTGTGTGTATGTGTTATAGGTGAGTTTTCATAAGAGAACAAGCTTATCATGATCATTCCATTCAAGTAGATCTTCTTTGTGGGTCACGTAAGGGGAAGACGGTACCTAATAATGCAGTGTTTAACCCCTTGGAATCCCATAGTAAGTCCTGACATTTGTGGCCTTCAGCACAGAGCTGGAAAACCTTAGATTGGTTATTTTAGGTTTTTTATTAGACATCGGAATACAGACTTTGCTGCATAGTGTTCTTGAGTCATGGACTAAGCTTTTTAAGTCCTGATGGAGGATTTTGTGGCCCCCAGAAATATGTTGTGATGTTGTTAAAGAACTATTAAGCATTGTTGGACTCTTTACCGTTTGACTTGGTGCTCCTGATGTATTTTTATTGTTGGTACCCACCAGAGGGGATCCTTAGCTGGAGCTAGCGAGCTAATTGTGTTCTCTTCTTCACACCTAACAAATTTGTACCTGAAGTCCTAGAACTAGTTGGATAATTTTTCTGAAGACCACTAGAATTGTCTGCTGCAAACATGACCATCAAATGCAGTAGATAGGAAGCAAATGATAAGGTCTTAGTGTTTGTGTATGGAAGGGTTGGACCCCTTGTCAGGTTTTCATTGCAGAATGGCCATACCCTTTGTGTATGTGTTACAGGCAGGGGCAGACTGACAACTCATGTGGTCCCCGGGCAATAGGGGATCATGGGGCCCCTGTGTCCTTGCCCAAACTCAAAAAAGCCTATGAAAAAGGTACCAGGGGCATCTCATGGGGCCCCCTACTGACCCCAGGCCCTCGGGCAGTGCCCGAGTTTCCAAATGGTCAGTCCGCCCCTGGTTACAGGTGAGTTTTCATAAGAGAACAAGCTTATCCTGAGCATTCCATTCAAGTAGTTCTTCTTTGTGGGTCACGTAAGGGGAAGACGGTACCTTATGATGCAATGTTTAACCCTTTACATACTGAGGGAACTAATTGTTGGTTGTGAGTGAAATGAGAATGCCGGACCGCCCCCATGTCAGTGTTCAGTGCTGAAGTCTGTTAGAGGAATCCTCGATACAGAGAAGGTATTGTGTATCGGCTTTCTGGATCAGGTTGTTTCTTAATTGCAGCGCAAAGCTTCGGACGCTACATAGAAAAACGTCCACAAAAAGTCAAATCTGGAATGTTCCATCTGACCACATGTAGCACAGCAGCTCCCCCTATTGACATCAGGTCAGTTATGTTCACGGCGCCCATCCTATGGATTTGAAGGTGCTCATGACTACATAGGATTCTTTAACTCCTTGTATATAGAACTGAAAGCTTTCTGTGGTAATGAGGGGTTTAGTGGATACATTTATAGTAGAGTTACCTAATTACAACCCCGATTAAATGCCTGTAGTTTGGTCTTGACCCCTAAAGTAAGCCCTTAAAGTCATAGTAAACCCTCCATTTTTTTTAAAGCAATTCAGCAGTTGATTTAATCACTTATAGAATATGCAGCTATTTTTTTTTTTTTACCTTCTGTAATCCTTGCCTATCTTCCAGTTCAAACTGGTGCTATGATCGCTGCCCCAGGTTTCCTGTCTCAGGGTGGCTCCTTTCTCTTTCAGCATCCTGTGGAGCCACGCTTGCATGCAGGGACTAGAGTTTTGTCTCCCTACACTGTGTGCATCAATAGAAACACACAGGCCCATAGCCTAGGATGGCAAGGCACTCCCCTGCCCCCCCTTCTCTAGGCTAGCAGACTGACTGGACACTGCACTGTCCACTGTTACCTCTCTTTCCTGTGAAGACCAAATTTTCAGGGAAGCAGCACTGGAGAGCAGGAGTTGTAAACTGCAAGTGCTGGGGTAAGAATTTTAAAAATCCTCTCTTGAGAAGAGAATAAGGGGGATATGATCTCCATGTATAATACATAAGGGGGATGTGATCTCCATGTATAATACATAAGGGGGGTATGATCTCCATGTATAATACATAAGGGGGATATGATCTCCATGTATATAATACATAAGGGGGGGATATGATCTCCATGTATAATACATAAGTGGGGGGATATGATCTCCATGTATAATACATAAGGGGGGGGGGATATGATCTCCATGTATAATACATAAGGGGGGGATATGATCTCCATGTATAATACATAAGGGGGGGATATGATTCTCCATGTATAATACATAAGGGGGGGGGGATGGGGATTATGATCTCCATGTATAATACATAAGGGGGGATATGATCTCCATGTATAATACATAAAGGGGGGGGATATGATCTCCATATGTATAATACATAAGGGGGGATATGATATCCATGTATAATACATAAGGGGGGATATGATCTCCATGTATAATACATAAGGGGGGATATGATCTCCATGTATAATACATAAGGGGGGATATGATCTCCATGTACAATACATAAGGGGGGGGATATGATCTCCATGTATAATACATATAAGGGGGGATATGATCTCCATGTATAATACATAAGGGGGATATGATCTCCATGTATAATACCATAAGGGGGGATATGATCTCCCCGTGTATAATACATAAGGGGGGAATATGATCTCCGTGTATAATACATAAGGGGGGATATGATCTCCGTGTATAATACATAAGGGGGGGGGATATGATCTCCGTGTATAATACATAAGGGGGGGGATATATGATCTCCGTGTATAATACATAAGGGGGGATATGATCTCCGTGTATAATACATAAGGGGGGAATATGATCTCCATGTATAATACATAAGGGGGGATATGATCTCCGTGTATAATACATAATCTCCGGGGGGATATGATCTCCATGTATAATACATAAGGGGGGATATGATCAGTGTATAATCCATTTATAATACATAAGGGGGGGATATGATCTCCATGTATAATACATAATGGGGGGATATGATCTCCATGTATAATACATAAGGGGGGGATATGATCTCCATGTATAATACATAAGGGGGGGATATGATCTCCATGTATAATACATAAGGGGGGGATATGATCTCCATGTATAAATACAATCAGTGGTTCATATAGTGAACTCGGTGTAGTTATTCCCCCTGAGGTCATCACAGAGGACAAGGGATGCACTCTTTACATCTGGAGGAAAAGAAATGTAATCTCCAAACACGGAAAGGTTTCTTCACAGTAAGAGCTGTGAGAATGTGGAATAGACTCCCTCCAGAGTTGGTTGTGTCCAGCTCAGTGGATTGCTGTAGGAAAGTCCTGGATTCTTTCTTGGATACACAGAATATAACTGGATATAACATTTATAGGGAAAGTTGATCCAGGGAATATCAGATTGCCTCTCGGGGGAATTACGTGAATATGATCCTGCACTGTGCTGTAGCCTCATCTAGAGATCTGGAGTACTCGGCATTCTCGGGGATATTGCCTGAAGACTGTCAATGTTTGTAGCATGGAAGCCAGTGGAAAGATGTTTTTTATATTTTTTTTGTTTTTTTTTGCAATGGTTTAAGATGGCGGAGTGGCCTCCTAACCAAACAACACATTATTAAAAGCCTATATCATTTATTGGTTGACGTCCAAGTATATAAGGTGCTGACTTCTCTCTCGTCCCAACAGCCAGAAAGTCGTTTGTGTTTGAGCTGAATGAGTCGGCGTCCAGTCGGATCCTGAAGTTGGAGAAGGAGAACCAGTCCCTGCAGAACATCATTCAGGAACTGAGAGAGGCTTCCATCAGCCTGGAGGAGAGCAGCCTGAAGGGCCAGGAGTTGGAGAAGGAGAATCAGCAGCTTAGTAAGAAGGTTGGTTCCAGCAAATGGGAGATCTTGGAAATGACTCAACCTTATGGCTCTAAGGGGGCTTAGAATGGGAGAGCAGATAGCGCAGCATTTACAGCACACTGCGCTCTGAATTATGCAAGTCATTCATTAAATGTGTAGAGCCTGGTGTCCTTTCGAACGGGATCTCAACTTTCTTGAGACTAGGGCCTGGAAATTCTTCATGCTCCAACAGTATAAAAAAAAAAAGTTTATACCCGCCCAATAAAATTTATGGCAATGCCCAATATGTATCGAAATGCTGGAAGGCTCTTGATGGGGCTGGGTATCACGGGAAGGGGAGGGGCTTCTGGAGGGGATGAGGGGACTGTGCAGAAGAGTTGGCAGCCCTGTAGGGAAAGGTTTTTGGAAGGGGGTGTCAACCATTCACAGTTGTCTGCGAATGGGAAAACTACAAGTCCAGACAGCCTCTGCGGCTGTCGGCTTGTAGTTCTGAATGAAGTACCCCGGCTCTGTTGATTGCTCTAGGACAGGGGTGTCAAACTGGCGGAGCTCCAGCTGTTGCGAAACTACAAGTCCCCATCATGCCTCTGCATTTGGGAGTCATGCTTGTAACTGTCAATCTAGCCAAGCCTCATGGGACTTGTAGGTTGGCAACAGCTGGAGGGCCGCCAGTTTGACACCCAAGCTCTAGGAAGTTCATTGAGCGTCCTGTAAAAGCTTAACTGCCTGCCCATATCGGATGTACAAAGACTGTCTGCAGGACCGTGGCATTACACCCACAAACTGATGATTATGGGTGCAAGGCTTTACAGGTCCGTAACAAAAAAAAAAGTAATAATGCATATTTTTTTTACCTGCAAAAATTTTTTTTTTTTTTTTTTTACGTGATCCCCCTTCATCAGGGCTTGTGCATGTGTGGGTTTGAATAAAGCTGGACTGATAGCAGCTATGTTGAGGTAGATTTTTTATAGCCTGGATTAAGGACCTGCTGTGGTTGCCAGTCTAAGAGGAGCAGTGGGGAATCTACTTTTCTTAATGTTTTGCCCATGTTGGAATTTGGCTTTAAACCTGAAGTTCAGTCAACTACCACTAATGACATGCAGGCTATTGCTTTGTGTCCCAAATCTTGTCTGCAGGGTTCCTGGTGTTGAATTTCTGGCACACTGGAGTTCATAACTTCGGGTCTTCAGGCTGAACTGCATTCAAGACTCCCCCCCCCCTCGCACCCTTACCCACACCACAGCTCCCACCCCCCTCCTCCCCTCTCATCCATTGAGAAAAGCCCGAGCACTGCTTACACGTAAAGTAACACGGTCTCTTAGTAAGGGGAGAATCCTGTCATTCATCTGACTCTCCCCCATTCAAAGATTGTGTTACATTCAACCATGCAAAGTCTTTTTCAATTGATGAGAGGAGGGGGTCCCCGTTGGACCGCCTTAATTTCAGTTCAGTCCACAGACCCAAAGTTTTATAAACAAATGCCCTTTTGGAAGTTCAGTGCCAGGAAGAGGACCGGGCACCCTGCAGAGATGATTTCTACATGAAGAAGTAACCTGCATGGCATTAGCGATCTGCTATTGGAGAAATAATTTTTTTTTTTACTAAATTTAAACTTTGAAAGTCCTATCCCTAAACCGCCAGTTATTTAAAACATTGGGCATAGACAGCTTTCTTATAAATTCATTCATTATTCAAGTAATACAGAACAGAAAAGGTTCATGTAAAGGATTTGTTTCTTTTTGTTTAAGCAGTGTATAATGTGGGAACAATGATGGTACGGCCCTCTGCCCCTGTGGACTTAGGTGCATCTGCACCCTCAGCATTAACATTGAAAAGTTTTTAGAACAGCCCCATTTTTCCAGTTTGCCCTTTAATGTCTTAAGGATAAGTATTCAAAATGTGTAGCAAGGTGAAGAGTGCAGATCATTTAGGATCGTTAATAGCCTACCATAGTATCATTCCAAAGTTTTAAAGGTAAAAGGGAACTGTACATGTGTGGGACTTTCAATATATCTTTTGGCATCCAATACACAAGTGAATACAACTTATATTGGAATAAAATTGATATTTTTATATTAAAATTGTTTAAATCCAACAAAGCATTAAAACACAACCACCACTATGTTTGCTGTATATGCTTGTTAATTAATTTGTTTTGGAGAGGTCAGTACTGTGTTTTTACAGTGCGTCATTTGGATTCCTCAAGACAATGAGGTATTTTTGTTTGGATATGGTGACGTATGGGGCTTATCCATGAGAGGCTGACATATAAGCCCATGGATGAGTGTACCCGTATTACATATCTGTAGCAAGATGGATTATACTATCTAACTAGTTTTGTACATGGGGTAACTCCATTTCCTTAATAGATATTATATATTCAAAGCTTAAGATCAAACTACAGTGCCACTTTGTATGCCGTCACTTCATCTAAAACGGTATGGTATTTGATTTGGCCTGGTGTTAACCATTTGGATGTAAGGTATATAATTGCAATGGTATCCAGTCATATTGTTGTGCGCAGTACATTCCACTCCAGTTGGCATTAATTACAGCTGAGCATACTTTTTTTTTTTTTTTTTTTTTTTTCATACATCTGAATAAAGGTTTATATATTTTAGATTCATCAATTGTAGGGAAATGCACCCTAGTCTAGTATAGATTTGTCATTTGCCAAAGATGATGATTTACAATTAGGGCTTAGTTCAATAGTATGCTTGTTAATTAGTCTACACCAGGGGTGGGCAAACTTTTTGACTTGAGGGCCGCAATGGGTTCATATATTGGACCCGGGGGCCGGACCAAGAGTAGATTAATGATGTGTATGTGTCATCCATAGTAAGTATAGTAATATTCCCCCATAGTAAGCATAGTAATTAATCCCCCATATAGTAATTCATCCCCCATAGTAATTCATCCCCCATATAGTAATTCATCCCCCATGTAGTAATTCATCCACCATGTAGTAATTCATCCCCCATGTAGTAATTCATCCCCCATGTAGTAATTCATCCCCCATAGTAATTCATCCCCCATGTAGTAATTCATCCCCCCATGTAGTAATTCATCCCCCATGTAGTAATTCATCCCCCATGTAGTAATTCATCCACCATGTAGTAATTCATCCACCATGTAGTAATTCATCCCCCATGTAGTAATTCATCCCCCATGTAGTAATTCATCCCCCATGTAGTAATTCATCCCCCCATGTAGTAATTCATCCCCCCTATAGTAATTCATCCCCCATATTAATTCATCCCTCATATAGTATTTCATCCCCCACAGTACTATTCCCCCCAAGTAGTAAGCCAAGTCCCCCCTGTGTCAATTCACTTACCTTTTCTCCGTGCGTTCCTCTCACCGTGTTCCCCGCGCCGTTCCGGTCTTCAGGGTGGACTGTGAGAGGAGCCTAGCTCCCCTCACGTTCCTCATGCTGCCCCGCCTACACACATTCTGACAGCCGATGTTTGCCACGCTCCGCGGGCCGGATTAAAAGGTCCGCCGGGCCGTAGTTTGCCCATTGCTGGGCTACATGTTTCTTCCTTTTAATGTCTTGATTTACTTTACAATGAAAACATGGAACAAATAATTTTTGAGATAAAAATGAAAAAAAAAACTCTCTTGGTTTATGAAATGTCATCTGAATTTGTTGACTCCTCAAAGCAGCCATCTTTTACAGTTTTAACCGCCCCAGTGGCGTTCTTTCTACAATAAAAATAATATGCCTTTTTAATTTTTCAGTTGTTCCCAAACAAACCTGTGAACTGAATTACATTGCATATTCTTTTTACAGATCGAGAATCTTCACATGCAGATTGAGAAGGAGAGGCAGAGCAGTGCTGACTTGGAGAGTCTTGGTGAGGATCTTCTGAAAGAGAAGGAGAAGCTTTCTCGGGTTCTGGAGAATGTCAAATCCGAGAAGGACAAGCAGGTGGGCCTGGCTAACTTTTAAAGTATAACTAAGCAAACATTTTTTAGGTTTAGAATAGGGTGTGGGGGGGGGGGGATTGGAACCCTTGTCAGGTTTTTATTGCTGTCTGGGCCTCCATTAGGGAGATTCACTCTCGCTATCTATTTATCTTTTTAAGATGGTGAAAGAAATCCCAAATTTTTGGTTTGCAGCCAGAAAAGGAATAGAAGGGAAATCTTTTGAATGAGATCACCAGTGTTGAGACATCCCCAATGTGGACACTAGTCTGTACAAGGGATTCCTTCACTTTCGTGTTCTTTTTTTTTTCTTTTTCAGTTTGTAACAGCTAGCCGGGGGAGAAGATCCCCCACTAGCTGTCAAAAACGGGGACTTGGGGGGGGGGGGGGGGGGGGGGGGTGGGGGGGGGGGGGGGGGGGGGGGGGGGGGGGGGGGGGGGTGGGGGGGGGGGGGGGGGGGGGGGGGGGGGGGGGGGGGGGGGGGGGGGGGGACCAGTGTATGGGGGGGGGGGGGGTTGTGTAGACCAGTGTATTTGTTTAACACATGTTACACCCTGAATATGGTGAACGTATCCTGGTGAAACACGTCGGCTATCCTTTTTACTCCAAAGATGAATACAAATTTGAACTGGACTCTCAGCCATATGTGTGTCGCGGTCTTCACTCTAAAAACTTAAATTTTAAACTTAAACTGGCAATCCAGGGACTTCTCTCCAACAAAACATCAAAAGATAAAAATATTTAACAAATTTGAGCACTCAACCAACATATCTTCATTTCCTTTTTTTTAAATTTTTTATAAAAGTGCTTACTACTTTGCTTGCTTTGGAGTGAGTGCTGGAGGAGGGGATCCCATTCCCATGACTGGCCGACGCTATCCTCCATCATGTAGCTGCATTTTGCAGAGAACACTCTAAAGCAGTGGCTCTCAACCACTGGGCAGTGGAACAGCTTCTTCTTGGGCCTCCAGCCAGCTGCAGTTCCCCTAACCTACTATAGTGTCCCCAACCTCCCATATTGGATTCCTTCCTGTTTTTTTGGCTATGGGACTGGAAGCCAAGAGAAATCTTTCCTATGGGACACAGATCATAAGATAAACCTGACAGGGGTTGTGTCCAATCCCATACTCTATCCCAGGGGTCTCCAAACTTTTAAGGGATAAGTTCACCTTTGGTAACATGTTACGTGTTCCACACCCGTTTTTTTAGGGTGGAACATATAACCTGTTCCCAATTCCGCAGACCTTTGCCTGATGCATCCCCCTCTGTGACAGAACTATGGGGAGAAGTTCCCCGTACTAGCTGTCCTTTTTTAAAAACGGCGTGGCCGTGCGGGGTTCTGCCCACACAGCCACGACATTCATTCACACTGTTCAGTGTATGAATGAACTACAAGTGCCAAGACCCTTAGGGGCTGTCAGTCTGTAGTTCTCATTTAACTACCGATGTGCTGCAGAGTGCCATGGTCGTTCATTGAATCCTGCTGTCAGTAAATCTGCTTGCCTGTACATCCCTGTATGGGCAAGCAAATATTCTGACAGGTCTGCAGGAGACCTGCATGGCATCATGGATCTACTGATCACTGGTGCAATGCTTTACAGGCTTTTTCAACTAAAAATAATAAATGCACGTTTTTTTTAGCTGCAAAAAAATGTGCATTTATTATTTTTGATCAAAAGGTGAACCTTATGCTTTAATTATAAGGGCCATATTGTATACTTTACAAATATTTGTGGACCGAAAATAAAATCAGTTGTTTTTAAAAAGGAAAAAAAAAAATGTATCAATACACATTCTATGAGAAACAACTTTACATCAGAACGCCCACCCCCTCTCTACATCAGAAGTCCCCCCCCTCTACATCAGAAGTCCCCCCCCTCCCTTTACATCAGAAGTCCCTCCCCCCCCTCTACATCAGAAGTCCCCCCCCCTCCCTTTACATCAGAAGTCCCCCCCCCTCCCTTTACATCAGAAGTCCCCCCCTCCCTTTTACATCAGAAGTCCCCCCCCTCCCCCTCCCTTTACATCAGAAGTCCCCCCCCCCCTTTACATCAGAAGTCCCCCCCCTCCCTTTACATCAAAGTCCCCCCCCTCCGCCCCCTTTACATCAGAAGTCCCCCCCCCTCCTTTACATCAGAAGTCCCCCCCCCTCCCTTTACATCAGAAGTCCCCCCCCTCCCTTTACATCAGAAGTCCCCCCCCTCCCTTTACATCAGAAGTCCCCCCCCCCCTCCCTTTACATCAGAAGTCCCCCCCCTCCTCCCTTTACATCAAAGTCACCCCCCCCTCCCTTTACATCATCAGAAGTCCCCCCCCCCTCCCTTTACATCAGAAGTCCCCCCCCTCCCTTTACATCAGAAGTCCCCCCCTCCCTTTTACATCAGAAGTCCCCCCCCTCCCTTTAACATCAGAAGTCCCCCCCCCCCCTCCCTTTACATCAGAAGTCCCCCCCCCTCCCTTTACAATCAGAAGTCCCCCCCCTCCCTTTACATCAGAAGTCCCCCCCCTCCCTTTACATCAGAAGTCCCCCCCCCTCCCTTTACATCAGAAGTTCCCCCCCCTCCCTTTTACAATCAGAAGTCCCCCCCCCCCCTTTACATCAAAGTCCCCCCCCCCTCCCCTTTACATCAGAAGTCCCTCCCCCCTTTACATCAGAACTTTACATCAGAAGTCCCTTCCTCCCCCCCCCCTTTACAGCAGAAGTCCCTTCCTCCCCCCCCCCCCCTTTACAGCAGAAGTCTCTTCCTCCTCCCCCCGCCCCCCTTAACAGCAGAAGTCCCCCCCCCCCCCCCTTTACAGCAGAAGTCTCTTTTCCTCCCCCCCCCCCCCTTTACAGCAGAAGTCTCTCCTCCCCCCCCCCCCCCCTTTACAGCAGAAGTCTCTTCCTTACCAGCAGTCGAAGTCTCCCCCCCCCCCCCTTTACAGCAGAAGTCTCTCCCCCCCCCCCTTTACAGCAGAAGTCTCTAACCCCCCCCCCCACACACACACAACTTTTGCATCAGAAGTTTCTCCCCCTCTTTACATTGGAAGTTCCTCCCCCTGTTTGTAGTTTGGAGAGATCTGCTCTATCTGAAATTCAAAAAAAGTTTTGCCATTTAGTTCTACTTTAAGATTTTTCCCTTAATAGTCAGAAAATCTTTTTGTAAATAAGTGGTTTGTTTTACAGATTAAAGAGCTGGAACAAGAGAATAAGCACCTCTCCCAGGCGGTTGCAGCTCTTCGACAGCGGGCGCAAGACAGTGCCGATTCCAGAGTGAAAGATGTGGAGATGGAAAATAAAAATGCTGCACGAAACCATCACTGACACCAGCAGTAAGCTGAACGAGGTGGAACATGAAAAGAAGCAGCTACAGAAGGCCTTTGATCAGGTGAAGGAGAAGGTGGAATGGGTGGAAGAGATGGGCAAGGAGATCCATCGGCTAGAAAAGCAGAACGAAGTGTTAACCAAGAAAGCATCCTCTATGAGGATTGTAGAAGAGAAGGTGGAGGCTCTTGAGAAAGAAAACGGCAAGTTAGAAGGAGAAAATAGAATCCTGAAGAAATCTCTGGACACTTTGCAGAACGTGTCAATTCGTTTGGAGGTGTTGGAAAATGACAACAAGCAGCTGGATGAGGAGAACCTGGAACTGAGGAGAGCCGTGGAAACCATGAGGTTTCTCCTGTACAAAAATAACGCAGATCGAGAGAGAGAATGCCGATCTTCAGAAAGAGAAAGAAGAGCTGCAGAAGAACGTGGAAGTACTGAAGGCCTTGGGGAAGAAGTCCGAAACGCCTGGAAGTCAGCTACCAAGGCCTGAGTGAAGAGAATTGGAGGCTTCAGCAGTTGCTTGAGGCTGGAAACAAGAAGCTCCAGGAGCTTGAATCTGAGCTTCAGGAAGTAGAGAAGGAAAACAAGGAGCTTCAGAAGACATTGGAGGAATTTAGGATTTCCAACAAGAGACTGGAGAGGCTGGAACAAGAGAAGAAAGTGATAGAGCAGGACTTTACCCAACTGGAGAAGGACAAGAAGATGTTAGAGAAGGAATCAAAAAGACTGTGGCAGCAGGTGGAGCTAAAGATGCCATCTTGGATGACAACACTGTGAAGCTGGCCGACTTGGAGAAAAGAAAACCGAACACTAGAGAAGGAGGTTTCCAAGCTGCGGGAATCCTCTTCTAGAACTCGAGAGCTCGAGAAAGAGAACAAAGATCTCCTGCAGCAGCTGACCGTAGATAAAAGAACACTAGCAACACTGAGAGAGGTATACAGAACACTGAACAGCTTTATTGGGGTTGTTTTGCCTTCCTCTGGATCAACTGTGGGTATAGAATTTTGTATATGGAGGTTATCTACATCTCTGTGTCACGATCTGGGGTCAAGCTCAAAGACCAGTTGCTATAGCAGTGGAAAGGCTTACCTGAAACCAGCAGGATAGGTACACAGGCAGGTCACCGTGGCGGAGGAGTGGGATCACCCGAGGTGAGGAGATTGGGACCTTTCCGTGAGTACCGGACATGTGTGCTGGGAATGTGCAGGGCGCGCGCTCTCGGCACATATGTCCTTTTTTAATAGAACGCAAATGTGCGGCCGCTCGGCGTCTAGGCCCAGATGCCGGGAGGCCGTACATTTGCGTGCGGCCGGCGTGAAGAGGTTAATTAGCACAGGAGGTGGTGGAAGAAAAATGTTGTGTACAGAAACCTTTCAGCTGCTTTTGTTAGGCCGACCACACTTTTTCAAATGGATACTGCGCTAGGTGAACCCTTAAAACTTTGTGAGCACTATAGGGACCTTCACACCTCTGAAAAGCAACCGACCAAAAATTGAAAATAAAACACTGTAATAGTTAAACTAAATAAGTGCATACCTATGCCCTATGAAGACCATCACCCCTCTGAAGGATGTTAACCATTAGCCGCCCAGCCTATAGCCGTTTGGCGACCGCAAAAAATGCTTCAGCTTTCCGGGTGCA